AGCTACGACCTTGACCCTTCAGAACTACAACAACTATGACCCCTATGCAGGTATGACCCCTACTTCGACAGGTCTAAGGTTCAAGACCCGACAACTACGCAGACCTACGACAAACAACTTTCAACTACTAACACACAGGTCACGGGTTCAAGACACAGGGTCGACTTGATAACTGTACACAGGGAAGGTAAGGTAAGGTAAGGTAAGGTCTGGGGATCAAGCCCTAGGATCCGCGTCTGTGACTGCAAAAGGTGAAAACCGTTTCACTCCAAACAGCCCATGCTCGAAAGCAGGGCAAAGAATTAGGCCGTGTATAATCAAACAAAACCAACAAGACATATCCAACCACAAAAAGAAAGAATAGCTCACTAGTACGAGCCCCATCCTAGCCGCTCAAATCTGCCAAGACAGAGAGCTAGCAAGACCGGAATGTATGTTGTTTTCAAAGACCCCAGATTCTCTCTCTCATTCCCTTCACAAATCATCACAAGCCATCCATAACGAAAAAATATAGATAGGCAATATAATAGAAAATGCAAGGTTGGCCACGTTTGTGTGCTTCAGCGCCAAGTGCCCACACACCCGTCTGCCGCCAAAGCGGCACACTTGCACTTTTTTTTTTTTGCACAAATGCTCCAGTCTATTCGCGGGGAGCAGCACGTGCTGGGAACCGGGTACAAGGCTAAAATAATCTATGTGAAACGAGAACAAAAAAAACACTCATTTCATCTTTTGCTGTTTTTCTTTTTCCATTGCGCTTATGTTTTTGATTTTTTTAAAATATAGTCAAAGATCAAAAAATAAAAATAAAAAATGGGGTTGTAGACCTCAAAAATATCTACAACCCCATATTTTTTATTTTGTTTTTGGATTATTTTTAGTCCACAAAAAAATGTCCGCGGAGCCCGTTGTAACCCGTCTAACGGGTTTTTCAACGGGGATTCAACGCGAATTCAACGGCGTTGAATTTTTCAATGCGGAACCCACGTTGAATCAATTTTCGGACACACAGGAGAATAGCTCTCCAGTTCGAGCCGGATCCTAGCCGCGCAAATCTGCCAAGACAGAGAGCTAGCAAGACCGGGCGTGTGTTGCGAATATTCACCACGACATCCCATGTTCCACCCAGATGAGTAGATCCAAAATCGCAGCAACTTTACCTCTATTGTAGAAGATGAAGTGTGCTTGAGATGAATCAATCCAGCAAGGAAACAATGTTGCCTCCATAGTTAGTAACATGAGGCACAATAGAAATGTTACCTTTATGCAAGCAATGCCTTCATGACTAACTCCAACATCATAGGAAGCTGACCTTTATGCAAGCAATGCAGCATACTTGAGAGGGGGTTACCCAACAATAAGACAGTTAGCAATATGATAGACAATAGCTCAATTATGTCATTTTCTTGACTATATTCGGGCGTGCAATTTTGAGGCGCGCGTGATTTCTTTTATTAATATTGCGAGAGGGTACTTGCCGGGTAGTTTTTCTATCTTTGATTGAGAAAGGACCAAGTGATATTTTCCTTGGTTGGTGCGTTTGACTGAGATGCTCGTGCGCTCACGCGAAGGTCAACTTTGATGACGGTGCGATTTTTGTGTGGTAAACGGAGTGAGCGGTGGAGTAAAAGCGCGGATCCGGCCTCCATGCGGTAGATGTGGGAGCTTGGCGGGCGTGGATGCTAGGCAGAGGTGTGGCCTTGGAGTGTTTCAGTTGGCCACACCGTCGGTGCGAATACCCTTACAAAGGTATTCGCCTTGGTTCTTTGCAAGTGGCAGTATGCCGCGCGAGTCACGGTTGTATTTCAATTACGTTGACTGAATGGTTTACTAGAGCAGAGAGTGTGTGGGCACGCAGACTTAAGGTGCATGTGATCTCTTTTCTTGTTGATGATTGTGAAACCGGCGTGGGTGTTGGCCAAGTTTTTATCTCTGATTAAACTAGGATTAAAAAGATTTTGTCTCTTGATTGGTGCGTTTGACCGTGACATGTGCATACGTGCGGAGGACGGCATCGACGGTGGCATGGTTTGCGTAATGAGCGAAGTGAATGTAAGGGTAGGAGTGCAAGAACGAGCGACCGCGTGGTGGACGCGGAAGGTTGACGACCGTTGTCGGGACCTGTGGATCCCGAATAACCTCCCGATACTTGAGAGCCGGTATATAGCCAAGTTGTGCACGACAAAGAAATCCGGAGAAAATAAACAAGAGAGAAAAAAAAAACAAAGGACTAGGACGAGACCGCAGGAAGGAATGATGCCCTACGCTAAGTACCGCAGGGTGAAGGACCCGGTAAGGGCAAGCGAGTGACAAGACATGGGCGCATAGGGGCATAACATGGGGCCATGAGGGCCATTCAAATTCGGCATGATAAGGACTCGAGGGGCCATGAACTGAGCAAGCGGGGCGCGGTAGATGATAAGAGAATAGTGAAGCCGAAAGGTGGATAACCTTGGTGGCCGCGGGACACTAGAAAGTAAGGGCCACAACGGGGTGCCAAGGCGAGACAGTGTCGGAGACCACCAGGCGGGACAAGTACCAAGGACTAGCACGGGACAAGTGGCGGGGACATGAGAAGGTCTCAAGAGGAACTGCGGAGCGGCATGAGGAAAAAATAATTAAAGCAAGATGCACTGTCAAGATCGAGATCTTGACGACCAATAATATTGGCACCACTAGTGCAAGCACTAGTGGAAGCAAACAGGGAGACCAAAAGGAAAAGAAAAAGTAAAGAAACATGAAGAAGGCGGCATGGGAGCAGTCCGAAAAACCTCGGATCAACCTCCCTCAAGAAAATGGAGTCAAAAGAAACTCCATGTGAAAAATAGGCCTCTGGGAGAAAATCGGAGTATGAGGGGTCACTATGTGGGAGAAATAGAGGTAAAGGGAGGCTCCCATGGACATGAGGGAGCCACAATTGCAGTCTGAGATGTAACGGATTGCACCATGGGCATAGGGAGGGCCAAAACTAAGAGGAAGGGCCTAGAAAAAGCCTTAACGACCACTTGACACTTGGCATGCTAGAAAAAAAAAGAAAAAAAGAAAAGAAAATGGGGGAGAATAAGACAAAAAGAGTGAAAGAGAGTGAGTGAGTTGGTCGTCAGTAG